TCAGTGAAACCCAAAAATAAAAATGAAGAAGTCATCGATAATTTTGAGGGAATTCAGTTGAAATGGAAGTATGTCTACATAAAGTCTCAAAAAAAGATCTTGAATGGAGAAAGGTAAGCTATTGGGTGGAGAAGTTCTAGGGATTGGGTGGGCTGTTGTTGGGTGGAGAAGAAAAAGATGGCAAACTGAAAATTCTAGGGATTTCACCCCCAAATCGTGGAATAGGAAAGAAAAGAGAGATGGGAGAAAAAGAAGTTGTGCACTACTAGAAAATTTGCTTTTTAGGAGAGAACATTTCGGTCAAGCAAAAATCTTGACCAAAAAAAATAATTTTTCGGGCATATTAACTGACCAAGATACAAAATTGTCCGATTTATATCATTTTTTTATATTAATTCGGTCAAATATTATTTCAGTTAATTTTTTTAATCGAGCTAAGGTTGGTTCGGTCAGTATGCTTAACTGAAAAACAATTCAGTCAAGCATATTCACCAAAATTATATAAAAAAAATCACACCCTTTTATTTGGTCAGTTTTTTTTTTTGACTGAAATAGACCCAGGATCGGAGACTGAAATCTTTAGCCTTTTAGATTTTTTTTTTCCCTTTTTTTTGGGTCATGGTTAACCACTGAAATGGAGAAAACTGGTTGTGATTTGATGGAGGCTGCTGAAGGCTTCAGCTTTCACTGTTTTTTCACAGTTTTGTTCGGTCAATAACTGTGAATTTTGATTTTGATTTGATGGAGGTTACTGAAGGCTTCAGGGTTTGACGTTTTGGCGTGTTTTTTCGGTCAGAAAAAATGACCGAAATAGTGAAATCCATTTTTGAGTTGATGGGGATGCAGCCTTGCAGCACTTATTCGGTCATTGTGCTTGACCGAACAAGTGGGTTGTGCAACTTAGCCTATTTCAGTCACAAAGTTTGTCTGAAAGTGAGAATCTCTTAGGCGCTTGGTTTTTGAGTTTGTAGGCCCCCACGTTTCCCATCCTTTTCGGTCATTTTTCTTGACCGAAAAGGATGCCATCACTGTTCTGCCGGTATGTCTTCTCCGCTTCTCCATCAAATTCGTTTACTTGTTCCTTTCTTCCTTCTCTCGTTCCTTTCTCCTTCACCATTAGCTTTGTCTCTGATTTCTTTCTTTCTTGTTCCTTGTGCTTCTATTTTGCTTCTCCAATTGGAACTATAGGTTTCTTTTGATCTGGTTAGTTTGTAAGAGACCTTTCTTGAATGTTTTAACTCATCTAAGTATGATTAGGTAAGATCTAATATTTTTTCTTTTTTCTTACTATTTCTCTGTATTTTTAGGTAAAATTAAGTAAGATCTAGTATTTTCTTTATTTTTTTTTTCTTTTACTCACTAATTTTCTTTATTTTCATGTAAAATTAAGTAAGATGTAGTTTTTTTTTTTTTACTCATTATGTATCTTCATTTCTAACTAGAATATTAAGTAACATCCAACATTTTTCAATCTTTTTGTTTTTTCTTTTCTTCATTATTTTTTCATTTTTCAAATAAATCACTTTTACTTATTTTGCATTTTTACCACTACTTGTCTCCATCATTCTTTTGCCTCATTTGTTATATTATTCTACGTTTGTTAAATTAGCTAATATATTTAGATTTGTCAATTTTTGTACTTTTTTTTCAACTCATTAATCATTTTTGCTTGTTATTTTTTTTGTAGGTCCACAATCAAAACCATGGTGGTAATTTCAATTTGATTTCCTTGAATTTGAAGCCTTTGTTTTTATAAGTATGTTCTAATCTTTTGTTAAATTTTTATTTTGAAATTTAATTAAGGACAAAATTATAATATTAATATGAATTGGGAAATTATAATTAGATTGATTAATTGATAAATTAAGATTATATTGTTTACTTGATTGGTAAATTAATTGTATTTTGATTAATTAATTAGTAAATTATAAGTAAATTGCTTAATTGGTTGATTAATTATTATTATATTATTTAATTAATTAATAAAATATGAATATATTAATTAAAGCATATGTAAATTAATTATAATTAAATTAATTTATGAGTAATTGATTATATTATATATTTTTAAATTATAATTATATTGTTTAATTGATTAGTAAATTATTATTATATTGATTAATTAATTAGTAGGTAAATTTACATTATAATTATTAATTATTTGATTTATTACTATAAGTATTGAATTTATTTTATATTTTGTAATATATATAATTAATATTTATCTAAAAGTACTACTTTTTATGTTCTTTTGTTAATATATTGATTTATTTTTCATAAATTAATTGTTATAATTTTTAATTTTATTTGTATATTTGTTACAATTTTCAATTCATTAATTTTATTTTGTAGGTCCAGCATCAATTTCAAAATTTTAATTTCACTTTAATTGATCACCTAAATTGCAAGTCTCCACTTTTGTAAGTATGTTTTAATTTTTTACTATATTTTTATTTTGAATTTTAGTTTAGGAAGATTGTATAATGTTAATTATTGATTGGTTTTATATAACTATATTTATTGTTATAATTTATATTTAATTTGTATGTGTTTAACATTTCTCAATTCATATTTTTGTTTTTGTAGGTCCATCATCAAATTCAAAGTTTCAAGTGAAACTTTAATTCAAAACCAGAATTGCAAGTCTCCACTTTCATAAGTATGTGTTCTAATTTTTTACTATGTTTTTATTTTGAATTTTAGTTTAGGAAAATATTATAATAGTAATTATTAATTGTTTTGTATAAATATTTTGATTAATTGGTTGATATATAAGTAGCTTGACTTAAAAAGGGAATTTAATGTGATGTTAAATTATTAATATTATAATATTGTCTTTAAATTATCATCTTTAGATTTCATATTTCATTTAAATTTTTTTAATGTAATTAATATAATATATTTTTTCCAATCGTATACTAATGTCGTATTATTATTAATTTTTTTCTTTGTAGTGAATTGCATACCTGGAGCTTGTAGGGGTGGCAAGTCTGTTGACGTTACTTCCCAAAAGCCGGTAAGAAAAAATCAGTCACATGGAATCGGGTCTTCGAGTACCTTTTTTCGGGAGACCTAGTGGGAGACTCAAGAGGAGACATGTGGTAATGCCAGTGACACTAACTCTAGTGCACCCTTGCGTCCTCAACCCAAAAAAGGGCAAGGTATTGCCAAACTCCAAAAAATGCTAGAAGATCCTTCCTATAAGCTAAGGATTAGGATCTGGGATGGGAAGACATTACCCAAAAAGGTTCGAAAGGATATTTCAATACTCCTTAAGTCTAATATGCGTGATGCATATATAGGGTGGGGTTCAATTTCTCGTGAACACAAAGATGTGTACTAGCAAGCTTTCCGGGTTGGTAATTTATAATCACATGGTTTTTATTTATATATATGCATTTTATTTATAAATCAATTAATATATGAATATTAAACTTATAAATTTGAATATATATTTCTTTTCAGAATATGTATGAGTGGGACCCAGCTGAGCAAGATGCTGTACATACAACATTTTTAAATGTTTATGAGATGCGATATAATCGAATGATGACCAATATCCAGACCTCATGTAGAAAGAAAAACTTTACAGAAAAAAAGCCATACATGTCTGATGAGATCTGGGAAAAGCTCAAGTATATATGGACTCAGGACCCGCAGTTCAATGCTCACAGAGAGCAAGCCAAGTTAAATAGGAAAAGGGCCTAGAGTAAAACACACTGGTGGATCTATGGACTACAATGATTTTGTGCAAAAATTTGTAAAAATGTTATCTTTATCATTTAGATTTCATATCAAAATTTATATAATAATTAATCTTAATGTTAATTATAATGTTTTTGTCAATTAACACTGTAATTGAATATGTGATATTGTAGAAAGAAAAAGATCTTGAGCATAGGGATCCATCATTCGTTAATGTCATTCGTGCCAAAAAAATGCATCATCCAAAAGGAAAGGATAAAGAGCCAATATATATTGATGACCATGCTCGGGAGTACACTGTGAGTTTTATTTCTTTGTATTTATTATTGCTTGAGGGGTTAATTTAATTGATATTTTATTTCATTCGCACTCATATTAAAGATTTATTTAAATTAAGTGAAATTAGATTGTATTTTAATTTTATTGAATATCATTGTTGGAAATATATATATATATATATGGTTGAACGTATTTGCATACTTTGTTTATAGGGAGGAAACTACAGTTTTTAGGGGAAACCTTGTTGGATTTTTTATAAATTTAATTATAATGATTTGTGAAAATTTACATCAACTTTTATTATGATATTTACAATTATATTGAGTTTATAATCAATATTAAATAGTGGAATTTATAAAAATTGTATATACATATTAAGTAAAATAGAAAATTTAAAGGTGTCGAGTTAGTGGGTACTTCATGTTCATAAAGTGGTTCAAATTGTTTGTTTTGGTTGAGCTAATCTTGAATTATATTTGGACACACATGTAATTGAAAAAAAAAAAATAGACCTCTTCGAGTAGGTAGGTCCGATCTCTTGATATTGGCTATTGATTTCCTCATAATATTCTCATTGCTTGTTATTTTTTTTCTCAATTCTTTTTGGCAAGATATTGTGACTTTTGTCATATAAGTTTATGAAGTTCGTTTTCTTGAGATGTATAAATTCCAGGAGAATGCCATTTATTCATCCAATCCTATTAAGTATCATAGTTGAACATATATATATGATTGAACATATTTTCGTGCTTTATTTACAAGGGGAAACTACAGTTTTAAGGGAAAACTCTACTGGATTTTTTATAAATTTGTAATGAATTGTGAAAATTTACATGAACTTTTATTATAATATTTATAATTATATTGAGTCTTTAATCAATATTAAATAAGGGAATTAATAAAAATTGTATAGATATATTGAATAAAAAAGAAAAATTAGACCTCTTCAACTAGCTAGGTTCGATCTCTTGATATTGGCTATTGATTTTCTCATAATAATCTCTATTGATTTATTTTTTCTATTGATTTATAAATTTAATTATAATGATTTGCATGAATTTAAGTAAATTTATATATTATTTATAATTATATTAAGTACCATAGTTGCAAGTATATGGTTGAGTATAGAATGTTTTTATA